GCCCCACTGCACTCTGGTGTGGGGCCAGCTGGGCTTGGGGCCCCCCGCCCTTCCCTGCCGGCCCCACCGTGGCCCCACTCACCTGTAGTTGGTGCTCCTTATGGGCACCCAGGTGTAGTTCCGCATCACCTCATCGATGTACCGCTGGGAGGAGAGGCGGGGGACTCCCAATCTGGTGGACCATCACCGCCTGCCACTGTCCCTGCCACTGTCTCACCTCGTCCAGGGACTTGACCAATGTTCTGATCTGCTTGTGGCCCTTGTTGCCGTCGATCATGCTCCGACGGATCTGCAAGAGCCAGAGGCGTGAGGGTGGGGCCCTGCCTTCCTCCGCTCTGGGTGCCGCACCCCTGCTCCCCTCCTTCCTCACCTCCTCCTTATTCTCATCTTCCAGCTCTGCGTCCAGGAAGTCCAGAGTCACGGGCTCCCGGAAGTTGGTAGTCTGGGGCGGGGGGCGGGCAGGAAGTCAGAGGCCCCATCTCACAGGGTCCACCCCCCTCCAGGCCACTCGCATGGCTCACCTGGGGCTTGAGGTTGGGGTGCAGCAACACGTAGCCGTTCAGGTCAATGGCAAACACGTAGCCGTTGGCTCCAAGCTGGGGGTGTAAGTTGGGGGGCTCAGGGCCTGGAGGCTGGGCAGGGGTTCCCTGGTCTCTAGAGCTTTTCCTTATCCTGCCTTCCATGCCGCCGAGGGGTGCCATCTGCCTGGCTGGGCCAGGCCCCCACATGCCACGGGGCCCCAAGACAGCTTCTCAAGCCCAGCCCAGCAGGCTGGTGCCCCTCTCCAAGCAGCCCTGGCCTGGCTGACCAGCTCCGTGCGACCACCACTCCCCTGGCAGCCTGGGCCTCTCCCCACCCCTGGTTCTAATGGGGCTGTCAGTAAGCGGGGCTCCTCCACCGGCCCCACCCCCTCCTGCCTCCTCCTGGTGCCCATCACAGGAGAGCACAGGGAGGAGCGGACCCCGGGTCCCACAGGCCTGGGGCTCCCTCCTGGACCCACCCTCACCTCCCGGCAGTTTTCTCAGTGCACCTGGAGCCCAATGACACGGGGCCTGCGTGTGGCTCAGGTGTAAGGATGCGGTCACCGCCCCCCCAACCCCCCACCCCTTTCACAACCCACAGGCCCTGGGCAGCCACACTGCCCTGCCCCTGCCCTGGCTTAGGATTCTGTTTTTCACATCCAGACCTTTGTTGAGAATCCCCTCTGCCTTCCCCGCCTTTCTACCCAGGCCACTCCTGCCATGCGACGACGGCCAGGAGGCGTCAAACTACAGCCCCGGGGCCACACCTGCCCGCCGCCTGCTCATGTCTAGCTGTCAGCTGCGAACGGCTCTGACATTTTTAAATGCTTGAAAAGATCAAAAGCACACTCCTGTTTCATGACAAGCGGAAATTACCGGAAGCTCACATGTCAGTGTCCGCAAGCCAATCGTGCTGGAACAGGCCATGCCCGTTTGTTTGGTCTGTGGCCTGTTCCCAATGGAGCCGCAGATGGAGCGGAAATGTGCGTGTTGAGGCTGGCGGGGCCTCCAGCAGTCACAGTCTGGCCCATCACAGGAAGTTTGCCCACCCCAGCTCTAGGCCCAAGGTCACCTCCTCCGGAAGCCTTCCCTGACTGCCTGAACTCAGAGGTCTCCACAGGGTGTCTGATCGCCACCAGCCTCCTGTGCAGGGCCCGGCCGTGTCCCCACGGGAGGCAGAGCGGGGCGACACTCACCGTGTAGTTGGGAGTCAGCCTCTTGATGTCATTCAGCGCCACATCAATACCCATCACGCCCAGGATCAGCTGGTTCTGGGAGCAGAGGCGGGAGTCTGTCACAGGCTCAACCCCACGGGGAGCCCCCTGCCCACCCCATGCCCAAGGCTTCAAGCGGCTCTCACAAGCGGTCCCATAGGCCTACCTACCCCTCCTCCACGCCAGCCCTTCCCGAGCACGCCAGCCCCTCCCGCCACGCCTCGTCCTCCCCGTGGAGCCCCTCACCTTCTTCTCCCCAGGGCCATCCTGCGTCAGGTTGAACACTGGGAGGGTCCCCGTCACCACCAGCCCCAGCCCCTGCAGGGAGAGCAGGATGGTGGTCTGTGGCCAGCCGGGCCCCGCCTGTGTTCAGAGCAGAGAAGCGAGCGGCCTCTCTTGCTCCTCTGCTGGGTTTACCCCACCATGGGGCCCTCAGGGGCAGGACTCTGCGGGCAGCTCGCGGGGACGGGCACCCACCTCCCCCTCTCTCCACACCCGGAGCCTTACCAGCGCGTCCTCGTACACGTTAGTCCACTGCACCTGCTTGGCCTCCTTGCCCGCCAGCACCATGGGCCTGCCCAGCACGTCCAGATATTCCTGCGGAAGGGACAGCAGCCAGAGGTCACTGGGTCCCTCCCACGGTCCCTCCCCTGGTCCGCCTCCCCGTGCATCCTCAGGCCACCAGGGGGCGCGCTCACCCCACAGCAGCTCTTCCCAGGCGCCGTCCCCCTGGCAGCAGGGGGCTGGGAGGAGGGGACCGCCGGCTCACCTGTGTGTTGATGCGGATGGCGCCGATGGAAGGGATCTCAAAATAGTAACCTGTTTGGAGGGAAGGCGAGGCAGAGGGGGCTGCTCAGGACCCACACACGGGCGCTGTGCCCGGGGTGTGCCTGCAGCCCCGACTTGTCCTCAGGCTCCCTCTCTTTCTGGTGTCACTTCCCCTGAATCATGTCCCGTCAGTGCTCCCGCCATCGCCCACCAACGGACCCGGGGGAGGGGCTGTGAGTGCAGGGGTGTGAGGAAGCAGAGCTGGGGGGGCAGGGGAGCCGAGGCCTGGAGTCCCTTGTTCTAGGCCGGCAGTGACCCTCAGGGCCCACCCAGGGGACAGGCCCAAGTGCACGGAGAGACAGACTGACCAGCAGACAGACACAGGGGCAGACAAGCTGCGAGACAGAGGGGCGGCAGGCACTCAGACAGAGGGGCGGCGGGCATTCAGACAGAGGGGCGGCGGACACTCAGACGGGCAGCGGGCACTCAGACCGAGGGGCGAAAAGACGCTCGGTCAGATGGACAAGTTGGCCACACAGAGAGAGAGGTGGACGGTCACGTGTGTGGGAAGATGCACAGACAGCGGATGCACAAGCAGCTGGACCTACGCATGGACAGGCGGACAGCCGGCCGGACACCGGGGAAACCAGTGACACCAGGGCTGCCGGCAGAGGTACCTTTGTTGGCGCAGGCCATCCACTGCAGGGGCGTGACGTCGTAGTTGTGCTGCCCCACGGAGAAGGTGAACACGCGCACCTGTTTGGAACCCGAGGTCATGGCCGTG